TACACCATATATCCAAGATGGTACACCATATATCCAAGATGGTACACTATGTACCCAAGATGGTACACTATGTATCCAAGATATTACACCATATATCCAAGATGGTACACCATATATCCAAGATGGTACACCATATATCCAAGATGGTACACCATATATCCAAGATGGTACACTATGTATCCAAGTTATAAGGGGTAAATTGAATTTATTTTCTTCTATAGTTTAAGCGGCCATTGTTCAGAATTCAATTTGCAAAATTTGCCTGAAACGCCACGGGGCCCGACACAGATGGCTTCCTGAAGGTGGGGGGGGGGGGGGTGCGGTCACACATCCCCTCAGAGATTAAATAAAAAGAATTTACGTCCCAAGGAAATACAAATGGTTTAAGTTATTTGATTTTTGTCAACAGATTTGAAATTCTATAATCTCATGTGTTAGGTTCGTCACTAAAAGACGTTGGTTTGGCCTGTGCAACTAGCACTTTTTCAGGGGGGTCCAAATTTTATTCTTTGAATGGGGAGGGGTAATGGGGAAGGCTAGCCGCCCCGCCCCTTCCCCCCCCCTTCCCTATGTAGAAAATTTAAAAAATATGAAAGTCCTGTTATAAAGGTTTGAAGTCGAAAAAAAACTGATGCAAATCGATTTGTTTTTATATCCTATGGCCTTGTGATTAAAAAAAATCTTTCTCCCAACAGCTAGTAAAATAAACAATATGAATCAACTCTGTGAATGTGTGTGCAAAGCAAAAAAAATCTGTTCTTCTGAGTTCGTGTGTCTTATTTTTCCCATTTTTAAGGTAAATGTTTATATATGTTTCTTATAGTCCCTGGTTTAATCATTATTCACTATGTACGTATTAAGTCCCCTATTATAGTACAAAAGTCCTTGTTAGGCCGATAGAATTCTTATGTTATCTTGATATTCTTCTATTATAATATGATATGCAATTTCTTCTTGGGTTCTCAGTTTTCTGTACCCTGTACCGGATATCAAACATCTAAATCTGGCAAATTTTTATTGATTTTAACCAAGCAAACCAAACCAAGACAATATATTCAATATTACTCTTTTGTAGAGTGAAAAACACTTTTATGTAAAAAACCAACAAATACATTTTTAATCTGGTCTAGTGGTAGGAATACTTGAGCACATTTAACACTGAACAAACACACATTTACTGGAAACCAAGAAAATCAAAGTTTTACTGTGAACGAATTAAATTCTAGTAAAGTTTTTACAACGAATTGAATTGTCATTTTCTTGCAAAACTGGCTTTCTGGAATTAGGGTATTAGAAACCTTGACAGCAATACAACCGTTTTTATTTATTTTCCCTTCGATATATTAATAGTCTATTAAGGATTAGAGTAAAGCAGAACATGTTGATCTTACTCATATGAATTCCAACAAAAAAATGGTCTCTTCAGTTGGAAGACGACAATAACTGGAATCAACGCTCTCTGACTTTACTGATCTTGAATCTTGAAAGCTTGAATATACAGCATGCATGCAGAACAGATGACATGTTTAAGTTAAAACCAAAACTAGTTTATTCTGGAGAATAAACTCTTTTAAAAATGTATCAGTAGAATGAACAGACATTCAAGAGTATCAAGAGAAATGTGAACGCAGAGAAACTGCGGATTTCAGCTAGCCTGGGATCCCAGCCAATCGACATTTGGCCATCTTTAAGGTAACTTGTCAATTCTTAGAATAACTCCAATATGAGAGTTAAAATAGTTATATTTAGGTCTCCACCTGAAGGTAAACCTTGAATAACAACGAACCGACTGGTGCCTCCTAGGCTCCTACTAATCTGAATACTATATATACTGCTGCCCCCACCAACCGAAATGAACACTGAAGATCAAATGAAATGATATAGTTTCTATTAATATCAAAATTATAAAGAAAAAGAACCACTTTTTATATACATAGTTATTCAACAATACTTTACCATAACAACTACTATTTTTCCTATACAACCCTTAAATGTCATATTTTGTAATACCCATACGATACAGTGAAACCCTTAATAACGAATANGTAGAAGCAACGTCTCTATTCCCCCTGCAGCTTTAACCTTTTTGATGTTTCATACAGTCTTCATGCATCGTAAATATCAATACAATGTAGACGACATTCGATTCTAAACAGCATGGATACAAGCTTTTAAACAGCATGGATACGAGCTTTTAAACAGCATGGATATAAGCTTCTAAACAGCAAGGATACAAGCTGCAAACATAAATTTGAAAACAAAGAGAAGCTGTCAATTAATACCTTCTCTTTGTTTACTTTAAACCTTGTAATTTGAAAAAAAGCTTGGTAAAAATAAAAACTTAAATAGAAAAGTCGTCTTCATTGTATTGATATATTCACCGACCACTGTACATTTATTGTTTTCAAATCCTGATAAAACTATAATTTACGGCGAGTTATTTAGAATTAGCTTTGTAATTATGGAAAAAAGCATTTCATTAATTGCCTCTTGGTTTGCAAAATAATTAGGAGGCAGCCAACATTAAAAAACGTGGTATATATCCACTAAACAGTTGAATAATTGTCGTCTTGTTTATTGTTCTCTGCTGGGGATTTATTGGTAAGTACGTTTTTTCTGAACGTTTTCAGCAGAGGCGAACAC